CCAGGGAAGAAGCGGCTTCTTCCTGACGAGCGGCCTCCGCGCGTTCGGCAGCTTCAGCAGCGTCGAGTTCGTCGAGCGTCTCGACGCCTCGACGGATCATCTCTTTCTCGCGATCATCCAGGAAGCGCTGTTGCTTGCGAAGGCGGAGGATTTTCGCCATCGCCTCTTCCTCCTCGTCACGAAGTTTTTGGCGCTGGCGATCCAGCGAGGACCAGTCGCTCAAGGACGGGAGTTTCGAGGTGTAATTACAAGAGGAGCGCTTCTTGCGAACGCACTCCGAACAGCGAGTGGATTCCTTGGAATCCACCACACAGCGGCGCTTGTGAAGCCGACAAAAATCACAAGGAGACATTTCTTCTGCGTCTTGGGAACGATCGATTCGAAGGGCCAGGGCGATACGTTCAAGTTTCTTGCGGGTCGCCTCAGAGGTCATGATGGAAGAAGAAGACGGCCGTGGGCAGTCGTCGATATTTCCTTTGGCATACTTAAGCGTGGGGACCACGCTAGGCTAGGGAGGGGATAGTGTTACGGACGCTCCTGGGAGCCCGCTGGGTCCCAGGAGGAAATATCCTCAGAGCAGGCGTACTCCTGGGAGTCGGACGGCTCCTAGGAGTAAAGCTCACAGGAACCAATAAGGTCTAAGGAACATGTATCACATAGCATTACATTATAGTAGTATTGCAGGTCACGGTGATCTGGCAGCGGCCTTCCGCGGTCGGGTCACGTGACGGATCCCAGGGGATCCCAAGGGATCCAGTACGACTATGTCGTGAAGGATCCCAAGGGACCTGTGGGATCCAAGGAGAACGAAGGTTCTATATAAGACTGGCACGTCTGCCATTAGATAGGAGCTTCGTGCTCAACTTCAAATAGTATTCTGATACTTAGTAACTGTCTTCCCGTCTACGTGATACACCTACCTCTCGATCATCAGAGATCAACTGCAGCCTTCTGTATTTACAGCGAGTAAATACCGGACCGTTACAGCTATTTTCTTACAGTTATTTTAAGTTATGTCTTTGGTACTACGGCGTGATGTTTATTGCTTAAAAGCTCCCGGCATCACAATCGGCCAAGTCAAGCAGCCCGATTTAGATCCCTTCTCCGCTGTCCGGTACTTTTATTTTTACTAGGTAGATCATCTTTTTAAATGTTAAAGTATAAAAAACACAATTAGAGACCTTAAAGGCAGTGACTAGGTTTATAGCTTCTTTTGCTAGTACTTCTTATACTGGCTTGAGGCGCTAAGCTTATTGAATAGTATGTCAAAAAGTATAGTTATGATTTAAAAGCTCGAGGATCTTAAAGTACGTTTTTAGATAGCCTTATCCTTATCGGATTATCCTAATGTGAATAAGTTCAGTATAAGTCCTGGTTTAAGTGCGTTTATATACGATGCTAGGCGTTTTGCCGTATCTACCCGATCAATTATTAAACAAGCGCCTTTTTAAGCGTATTGTTTAGCTTTTGTTTTCGTACTAGAGAAAAGCATTTTTCCACTTGTTCCATCGCTTACACCGAGCACCAAATCATCGCCGAGCTCTCCAGATTTTACAAAAACCCACCTTCGACCGTCTTATTATTATACATCGATCGTTCTCTTAGCTACTTAGTCGTGCGGAGCAAACAACTTATGTGTAGTGAGCAGCTGTGAAACCTTCGCCTTGGGAAACTCGTACTTTTTTACTGCTTCCAAACTATTCGCCCTCGCAGTATCCTTCAGACAGCCCCAGTATCCGTAATCGAATCGCAGATGCAGTCTCTTCTTATCTACCGACTAAGGCTTCGTCGCACTAGTGAAATGAACACTGCGTATCGGAACCACGTTCGCAGCCGAGCACGCAAAGTTCCAAGGCCAAACCGAATTGTACAACGGCATTAATACGTATTTAAACTCTGGTCTAATTCCTTTCGCTAGACTTTAGTATCTACACAAGTAATTCAGCAGCTCTTGCTTAAACTGATCCTAGTGCCCGGAAACGTATGAGGATCTTGGGTTGTAGATCGCCTCGAGAGCGGATATGTGGAAGTACTGCGATGGACGGAGTAGGATTATGCCGCTGTTTATACGAGACCTGTCGCCGCAGTTGTGGAACTGGTCGGGTGCCTTAGTAATGGTGTGCCGGGGATTTGTATCGTTGAAGATCAGATGTAGGTTTGTGACGGCGATGGAATCGGCGTCTATAAGGAGGATTCGTGGATAGGTATTAAAAGCTTATAAGTATACTTTGTTCAAAGCGATAATCCAGCCAAGTTGAGATTGCATGAACTCGGGCTTCTCAATCCCCCTTAGAGCATTGAATCGGACAGGCACTATATCGTTCAAAGCCGGCGTTAAATCTAGAAAAGCGCAATCTTTTGGCGTTTTGAAAGGATTCTCTCGAGCTGGCTATTTGTACATCTCTTCGATCGATTTCAACTCCGGATCTATATATGTAATATAGACACATATTTTGTTAGCTAACTCCTCGGGCTGATTAAGTACATTGCGCACAATGGAACCGTAGAGGGCGAGGACACCCGTACAATGACTATTAGGTGTAACGTGGATCACGATTGGATATTCGTATCTCTCGAATCCAGCTGATTTCGGCGTAGGCGCGCTGGGTCGGACGTGGACATGTTTTCCTATACCTCCCGAGCCCTTTTCGGTACTATGGTCGTATCCTAAATTAACTGCTAGCTCTAGCTCCTTTAGCTGCTCCTTGGGCTTTTTTAAAGCCTTCTCTTCTTTATGATCAGAAGTTCCGGAATGAAGTAACTCCTAAACTTTGCCCCCGACTTTTGTTGCGAGAGCGCTTTCGGACGCTTTGGTGTAGTGCGCTGTTAGTAGTAGGGCGAGAACGAGTGTGGTGATTAGTCCGAGGACTATTATACGGCGGGGTGGAGGACCTATCGCTGCCGATAGAAGGCTACGAAATTCGATGTCCTAGGCAGGCAAGTAAACAAGAATTACGAAAATGTTCAAAGTCCTAAGTGCGAATTGCGACTTGCGAATTGCAAAATGCGAAATGCGAAAATTGCGACGGGTGAAGGAGAGCGATAATGAGTGCGAAACTTGTAGGAGTAGATCAAAACGGAGAATAGCAATGTATAGCGTGAAAAGTTAGACACGAAGATATTAGTCGAGTTAGTGGGAGGAACAGCGAACAAACGGAGGATCTAAGGAAGGAGATGCATGCTGATAAAGGGTGCTAAAGATACTTATAGTAAGGAAATGTAAAGCACAAGCATTAGCACAAGCAGAAGGTCTGACGAAAGAGGAATCTTACAGTAAGGAGGGATTTCCAATTTAAAGTTCTTTCGGTACTACGCAATAGACGGATTTGATAGGCTTGATGTCAGGCCATGTTGTATAAGAGGGATAAGATAAGTACTTACAAGTTGGGCTTGGTTGGTATTACGAGAAAGCCTTAAAAAAAAAGGGGGGGGGGGGGGGGGGGGGGGGGGGCTCTCTATCGTCAAATTCGAAGTCAGAGAATTGTATACAAGTTAAATTACGCCTCTTCTTAGACCGGAATACGGGATGAAAGCGAGTGAGATTGTGGGGCTCTTGGATTGCCGCAGCTTATGGCAACCTTCTTTGTCGCCGCACGTTTGTTTTTCGTATAGATTGATTGGGTTTAGAGCGGGTATGATTGGACTAGGTCCTAGCTATGGTGATAGCCACGAGACAGTCAGGCCATGTTTGCAGTAGGATATGTGGAGAGAAGCCAAGGTGCAGACGAAGGGATATTCCCGATTGGTGTTAGGTCAGCCGTTGGAAGGGTGTTAGGCTTCTGTGTTTTAAGAAACTAGTTGAAATATGATCTTTTCCACTGCTCATACCCTTCCGCTGTGCAATCGGACGTGGGATTTTCGACCACTTTGTAATTGACATGGCTTTTGCGTGCAGCTGGCGCTGTCACGCCATGATGAGCCTTGAAGAGTCACGTCCCGGGGGGGGGGTTGAGTTTCCTGTGCAATTTTTTTTTTTTTACAGTCTTATAGCATGGGAGCGCATGCAAAGCGGTACTTTCCCTGAAACAAGGCATCCAAAAAAACGGAGAAAATGTATCTGATAGATTTATTGGGTACAGTACAGGTTCTATGGGTAACAAAAGTCGTCTGACGTTGCTGTACGGAACCATATGCTTCTGAAAATCACATGAAAATCACATGCAATCAAGCCGTATCTAGTGTATGTTCAGCTCCACTGCTGTGTAACAGTGAAATGTGGTGCGGCGATTCACCATAACGGATCGGCGCCACTGTATTATGCCTCTTAAAAGTGACCTTCTCCGCTCCCCATCTGTGCGAAAGTATAGCATACTCGGGAATATCGCTCTCAAAGAACTCGGTCAAGCTGAAATCGCTATCGCTATTATAGTGTAGCAGACGCATTATTCGATTAGGTTCGAGTATCGCAAGAAAGAGGGTTCTCGGTCGTTATTGAGTCGTCGAATTGGCATAGATGCGAAGTGAGGTGAAGATTTGGGGAGAGATGCCAGGTTGAGGCTGGGGCACTGAGCTGAGCGACAGCCTCGCGGTAATGACATCGACGAGCATCACCGCGGAAGTCCTGCCAATCGCACGGGCTTACCGCAGAAACTCGGGAAGTCATATAGGACAGGATGTAGATATTCAAAGCTACTCTCGATTGAGCATGGTGTGTTCATGTCGCTGAGGGGGGAGCTGAAGGAATTGCGCAGTGAATGACAGAAATGTACAATCAGCAATTTGGGCGAATTATCTAGCCTTAAATCTTAGGCTGCCACTTATTCTTCAATTGCGGGGTCGTTTTACCCTAACCAAATCTCGTTACTGTCGCTCCGATTCGAGGTACTGTCCCGCTTGGCGACCTTGTATGAATTTGCGATCTACAACAGCCATAAAGCTGATGACGATTTCCAACTTGATAGTAAAGGTTTAAAAATCGGATAGGACCCTTTCATAAGTATCAGGAGAAATCAGAGGTTGATAGCGGAGCTATAGCGAAAGAACTCTCTTGCGTCATGAAAGGAGGCTGCCTGCAGATCAGGCGCGAGGGCGACGACACGAACGTAATTATTTAATGGGAATGGTTTAAGGGGTTTAAGAGTAGCCACGGAGTAACTTATAGACTTTTTGATGCTTAAAGTCAAAGTACCTGTTAGTTTTTCCGGCACGGAGGGTTTTCCGGCACACAGGGATGGACGTTATCCCATGAACCGCCAGAAGCCACTTTTAGCGTCGTTTGATACTCGCTTAGAAGAGATACCGTTTAAGAAGCAGCACAACTACTTTCCAAGATAAGGGTTGCTTAATATCAAGAAGTAAGATGTATATTTCGAACCAGCTGTGCTCGGGCATGTAATTTGTTTTCGTTAACACTAAGTATTGCGTTTGATGCACCCCCTCGACATTCTCGCGCTAAAAGTGGCAAGCGATGGCGGTCCATGGGATATTAGAACTAAAAGACAATGTCAGCTGCTTTATACTGTACTAATTCTATATTATTAACTTTGCTCCAAGTGCGAAACTAAAGATTAAAACTCTCCCAGATGAATACCCTAAGGCAAAGCTTTCGTTCCACGTAGCCTGACAACTGGGTGATTGAAAATCAGAAGTTAGCCAGAGAATCTTTGACATCCCTTCTAGTACCCAGCCATCTGATGCTCGTAAAGTTTTTAGCTTGCCGTCAGGTGAGCAGGCCACTGAGGAGACCGATTCAGTATGGCCCTCGAGCGTCTGCTGGAGGGTTCCTGTGGCGGCGTCCCAGAGCCGCACCGTCTGGTCGCCTGAGCCAGAGACGACCTGCTTGCCGTCAGGTGAGAAGGCCACTGAGTAGACCGAGTCAGTATGGCCCTCGAGCGTCTGCTGGAGGGCTCCTGTGGCGGCGTCCCAGAGCCGTACCGTCTTGTCGTCTGAGCCAGAGACGACCTGCTTGCCGTCAGGTGAGAAGGCCACTGAGTTGACCGAGTCAGTATGGTCCTCGAGCGTCTGCTGTAGGGATCCTGTGGCGGCGTCCCAGAGCCGCACCGTTTCGTCGTCTGAGCCAGAGACGACCTGCCTGCCGTCAGATGAGAAGGCCACTGAGTTGACCGAGTCAATATGGCCCTCGAGCGTGTGCTGGAGGGATCCTGTGGCGGCGTCCCAAAGCCGCACCGTCTTGTCGTCTGAGCCAGAGACGACCTGCCTGCCGTCAGGTGAGAAGGCCACTGAGTTGACCGATTCAGTATGGCCCTCGAGCGTTTGTAGTGCCGCGTTCCAATGTGCTTCCATTTTAGGCCAACTTTGGATCTAAGGGAAGATATACTTCTCGAACTGTTTTCGAACAATGCTCTTGTCAGGAGCAAAGACTAAGGCTGAACAGTACAACTGTAGTGGTCTCTTTTCAATCAATGAGTGGTAATATCGGGCGAACCGCTTTGCATCGTAGATAAACGCAAGTAAATCGAGACTTCCACTAGCCTTGTTCAATTAGTAGGGCAACACAGTCAAATAGCGCTAAGAAGCTTACTTGAAGCAAAACTTCGAGATTCCCAGTCATAACTATACCGCTTGATAGACTTCTCATAAGGCTTAGCGCTTCTAGCCAATACAAGAAGTACTGGCGAAGGAAATTGTAGACCGAGCCACTGTCCTTAAGGTCGGGAATCATATCTTTTTTAGTTTGATAATCAAGTAGATGATCAACCTAGTAAAGACAAGAGTACCGAATAGCGGCGAGGGGATCTGGATCGGGCTGCTTGACTTGATCGATGGAAATTCCAGGAGCGCGTAAGCTGTAGATGTTACGTCGAAGTGTGTTTGACATAGCTAGCACTGACTGTAAGAAGATAGTATAATATACATCATCCATGCCTAAGGGCAAGATCTCCTTTGACGCCTTTTTCATCAAGAAATCCTTTGCTAACTGGTGGACGAAAGAGACAGTGTCTTCGCGAAGTGATAGAAAAGAACCACAAAGTCCTATTATAGCTGCCAAAGACTTATGGTCATTGGCAATATCGCCGAGCGTCTCGATGATAGAGGTGGTTTCTATGAGAGTAATTGGTCGATATACCGTTGATATAACAGCCAGAATTTGCTTACAGAGATCTGTATCGTCTGATTCGCAGATTTGGTTTAACATCCGCTGGTAAAGCAAGTCAAGGCCAGGAGGGAATTCCTTCAACTTTGCCAAAGTCTTCCATCGTGGCACATTCTTCAAATTGTCGTACACCAAAGCGACCTAAAGGAAAGTATCATCCGCATTTGATACTAGATGCTGCAGGACGGCTTCGCGGGTTCTATCGTCGTAGTCCTTTTCGTCCGCCAGCTGACGTGTCTTGTATTTGACATAAGTACTAACGGCCGCGGAGACGGACTTCGGGTTCAGCTCGAGACATAGTCTTATCTTGTGTGCAGCCCGCTCCAGTCGTTCTTCAATGTCCGGCCAGTTACGGCTAGAGATCGCCTACTTAACGCGAGGAGATATAGACGCTTTCTGGACGATAAAGTCCAACAACTTCGACCGGTCTACTACGTATTCGTCAAGCGTATCGATGATTAAGAAAGTGCTTCTTAAGCTCGGATCTTGCAAGATGCTTGTGAAGATCTCAGACAACGCAATCCAGGCATTCACATCCTCGAAGAGGGATTTACTAGCGTGATCGTGCTTTTCTTGAATATGCGAGATGAGCGATGGCTGTTGACTGATAAGCAAGTATAGCAGCCCTCGCAGGACAGCAGTGGCGTGGTTGATTCGCGAGTCCGTAGCCTGGTAGAAGAAATAGGACAGTATAGCTGTCTTCGACATTGATTTCTCCAGCTCGTTGATGATGCCGCAGAGTAGCATTGTTTTGCCCTTGCCGGGATCACCCTTGATCTATAGCAGTCGGCTTTGCTGGTCGTCACGCCACCGTTGAAAGTCGGAGGTCTCTAGGACCCAGTGATATGAGCCCTCTAGCAAGCCACCCTTAGTGTCCTCAATACGCGTCTTGTTATCGCGAGGATCGCTGAGGCGTAAGTCTTGGAGGCACTTGTTAAACTTGTTAATTTCCTCTTCGAGCCGTTTGAATGCATTCGCTATCCCTTCGCCGTAACGGAGGGGCATTTGGATGTCGAAAATACCGAGTAACGAGTACGCTTTATCCTTTTCGACCTTGGTCTGGCGGGGTTAAATCTATGAAAATCACTCTTTGTCGCTAAACTGCGACAAATGGGCTCCTTAAAGTGCCGACTTAGGGATGCCTGTGATCTCGTGAATTTGCTGCTCTAGAGAACGCTTATTGCTAATCTGCTTGGATTCCCGGCAGAAGAATTCAACTGATGTCAGAGCAATAAGCTCTTAAAGGGTCCAGCCTCGAGTGAACCATTTGCATTTCCGAAATGCCGATTCCTAAGCCAGTTCATTAGTGTTGACGGCGGTTATAGATACATCTGGCAGATAGACATAGCATTTAGTCGACATGCAATACCAGCGAAACATCGAGTTGATAGCTTCTGCAAGCTCAGCGCTATTCGATTTATCGATACAGCAGGTGTCCACCCAAAAGTATTGCAAGCCGTCACGCCTCGCCTGTTCTCCGCAGAACTGTATCTTTCTATAACCGGCCTTGCTCTTGCCCGTGCCGTCTAACATATCGTTATATGTGACCTCCTCCGCTCCCCATCTGTGTGAAAGTATTCCATAATTCGGTATGTCGTTTCCATCGAACTCGGTCAGGCTGAAGTCGCCATCGTTGTCGTACTGCAGCAGACGCATTATTCAACTAGCTCCGAGTCGAGGATCGCAGGAGAAATAGTTCTCGGTAGTTGTTCAGCCGTCGAGTTGGCATAGCTGCAAAGGGTGAAGACTTCATGTCGGGTTGAGGCTGGCTCGCTCAGCTGGGCGGCAGCCACAAGCTGTTGCGAGCTGGTGCGAGCTTGCCTGTTGATTATCTAAGCTAAATCACGACGGAGGAAAGTGGGGTGCGGCGGGGTCCGTCCATTCTAGCGGAGAATCGTTAGCTCCGTCGATCAGAAGTACCGAACCGCCTGTCGGCCCTGCAATCGTTTGCACGCCACAACAGCCACAAAGCCTACAAGGTCTTGGACAAGAAAAATATGGATCAGATAAGAACTTTTAAGAGGTGTAAGGGACAATAAGAGCTTGCTAGGGTAGCTGTGGTTGAGGGCTTGTACTAAAGCCTGAATAGAGGCTTCATATTGATCAGGCGAAAGGGCGACGATACGAATATAAAATTTTATTCGGAAGGGGTCAGATTACTACTAAATAGCTATATAATGCTTCTGATCTTCTATTTTGATAGACTCATAAGCTGGTGTGGAGTTTAGAATGCGTAAAGTCAAAGTACCTGATGATTTTCTCGCCACGCAGGGTTTCTCGGCACGCAGGGACAGACGTTACTTTGACTTTGAGCGGCTTAAAAACATGTGCGCGCAATAGATATTACTATAATTCCGCTATGAGTCGTGTACTATAGCTAATCCTGAATATCTATAATCCCTCTTACCTAAAAATTACATTCGCCTCCTTTTATAGCGAAACAGACTTCCCTCCTTGCAGCACCACTATTAAGCTCTTACCGCTCTAAATTCTTGCAAATAAGCCTTGCCTAAGCCTTAAAATCTCTTCTAATACTAGGAAAGTTATCATCAGCCTTGTGCGCGCCGCAGGGCGCAACTTTATGTAAGGTCGCCACGCGGTTTAGTCCGTACCTCTAGCGGAAGCGATCACCGATCTTGGCTAATATATAATGACCCCGCACGTCCTACCTCATCGTCCGCAAGTAATTTATTGTAAGATTTGTGGCCGTGCGGATTGCCCAAGTGCTCGGAATATCGTTAAATCCGATTCTGGATTGGGAGCAGGGCTGAAGGTTCCAAAGGCCCCGGCGCTTGGCTCAGTCGACTAATGCGTCCAGCATCATAACCGCAATTCGCTTTCGACACAGTCATCGTACAACTTCGAAATGCAGTCCAGTGCACGATTATATCTCCTTCAAAAGCTTCCATGGCATGGAGATGAACGATCACGTCTCCCGCGAGCTCCGCAGACCCGCCGTTGTTACCGCTGCTGACCGAAATGGGCCCCTAAGCCTATTATGCCCTCTCAAGCCCGTCACGACCGATCTCCATGTACCAAGCTGCAGCTAGATGTCTAGTCTCAGCTCGTGGAAGGGGAATATGATGAGATAGGAGATGCCTCATATAAGATGGGGTGGTTGAGTGGGCCTCAGACATAATTAGTGGGCATAGTAGCAGACAACAGAGATTGGCATGATACAGAGCACTAAGATCGAAGCCTGCGCTTCAGCAATTGGACTTAGTGTCACTGGCAAAACGCAGTCGTTGCAAGCATATACAAAGGTGGAAAGGCTCGTTTATGCTAGAGTTGTAGTGGCGGGCCATTCAGTATACAGTACGATCACCGGCCAAGTGCCTTCTCGTCCGGCTTTCTCTAATTCGTGTACGGAAGACCTAAGTTGTTGACTATATTCATGGACAATTTCACGTGAATGCTTCATTGATGCTTTCACGTGAATGCTTCATCGATGCTTTCACGTGAATGATTCATCGATGCTTTCATGTGAATGATTCATCGATGCTTTCATGTGAATGATTCATCGATCCTTACATGTGAATGCTTCTTTGCTACTGCGGTCATGATAAAAGGGGCCCACGGCTTGAGATTTTACTCCCAATGTCCAATTTTAGTCACACCGGTCAACACGGACCAGGTTTTCGGTTGATCCATTTTGCACTTCGCCCACTCATAACCGGGATATGTCCTTCATCACGCATCTCTGATGGAGTCCTCAAAGAAACTGATCATCCTCTGCGATGGCATGTGGTGTGGCAGGAAAGCAAAGACGGAGACCAATGTTCATTTGCTCGCCCAATATATTGGTATCGACCTGGAACATGGCAAATTTGTCCTAGATAACCAGGAGAATGACAACATCGCTCGTTATTTCGATGGAATCGGTCTAGGGAACGTTTTCCTGGATTACGCCTTCAACGAGTCCACATACAGCAGTATTGAGATATCTCGCAAAGAGGTCTACCGATACATTGTCGATAACTTCGCGGAGCATCAGGAAGTTTGGATGTTCGGGCTAGGAACGGGGGCGTCCGTTGTTCGTCGTGTTGCTAGCATGATCAGCGAATTTGGTATCATCAAAAAAGGCGAGTCTGACTATCAGACAACCGAGCATTGCGAGTATGTTGAATCGCTGCTCAAAGCCCCCTTATGGGAGTCGGTACTATTGTCGGACGAACGGAGCAAGTTCAAGGCCAAGTACACCTGGCAGGTTTCAAAACCCATCAAATTCGTAGGCCTCATCGACATGAGCTGTCGTATGCGACTACCTTACCTGAACCGCTTGCTAGGGTCCGGAGAGTCCCAATCCCGGGACAACAACTGGTTTGACGCAGTCGACGCAATCTACCATGCCATGGCAATGCATGAGAGACTCATGCTTATCGAGCAGTGCTTTGAGGAACAGCCGAAAAACGCTACACAGTCAACATGGAAAGATTCATTGCCCCGCATCTATGAAAGATGGTTCCCTGGAACGCATTACGATGTGGGAAGGCAGAAAATTAGATTAGGGCAAGGGATCAGAAAGGCAAACAGCTTGCGCTCCTTGGTCTTGGACACGCTGTGGCGAACGGTTCATCCAAACCAAATACTTTCCGATTTGGTTCTGAGATGGATGTTGGAGAGCATTCGTATGGAAGACAAGACGGGAACAGTTGTGCGAGATTTGGATAGAAAGATTTTTAAGATCGACCAAAGACTTACCAGTGGGCTTCTATCAACAGGTTCTGGCGATATACGAGACTCGATTGTGGAGTATGTTCTGCCAGGGTATCAACTAGCCTACCTGAATAACTGGCTGTACCGAAAACCCGCCGCCGCCGTCATTGGGAGCACGATTGTGCGCACAGAAGAGCGTCAAATCTTGGACCTTAAAGCTGAGTCATATGATTACAAAAGACCTATCGACCAATCAGGCGCAACAATTGAACAACTGGCGAATATGTCTTCAAGGAGATACCCCTCGCAAACGTATGAGGACTTTCAGTATCGTCGGTTTGCCGCGAGCGTGATCAATTTAGCAACTTACCAATGTCTTGTCGGGAAGGAAGAACCCAAGGAAATTGGTATTCCCGAGAGTTCGGAGAGACGGATTGTTATGAGACTCAGTTGGGAAGGTCCAGAGTTCTTCAAGTCCGTCAATGGGTCTATTGAGGACGTCTTCACTATCACGCGAGTGGAGCCTGGCAGCGACCGCTACATTGCGAGGACAGTTCGAATGTTCCTGGAAGAATTCTATGGTGATTTTGGAAAAGCGTTACTAGACTGGGTGAAGAGATTGTGTGTCTTCAAGCCCAGGGTCTCGAACGAGGGCATTAAACAACAGGCACGGGTGGAGAGAATTTCAACACACCCCGAGAAGCCCCCGACTGTCTTGGAAACCACGTTCATCCATGTCGTCAACACGCTGCATTTGCACGTTGATAATGGCTCTGTCACTGCCCAATTCGACGACGACCACTGCGCATTCATGTTTCCAGGATCTTCCGAGTGGCTGGCATCTTTGCTTCGGCCTGCGCTCTCTTGGGTAGCGACAGTATTTCAAACTCCAAAAAGGGAAACAGAGAGTCTGAACTTATCCAGCTGCCCCTTCAGCTATTACACGGTAGGGCCACCAAAATCCGTCCCGTTCAAGCCTGAAGAGAGTGATTGCTCCTGCTGGCTCCAGTTATTCCAGCAAGCTCGAATCATGGAAGCACCCCCGAATTTGGACATGAAGATGGACGGACACCCAGGAGGACTGCAGATCGACTTCGACACGTTGATGGTCCTCGCTCGCGTTTCTTCTGGAGCTTGGTTTTACACTGACAATGCCGTTATCTTGACCGGACTTGATTCAGCCTTGATCCAATGTGAGCCAGTTGCAAGTAATCGTTGGCATTTCTTGCGCGTTCCTGGAAGGCTTATCGGCCCTAACGACATTGAAACGGCTTTTCCATACCTTCAACCCCTCATTAGGGCTCCTGAACCCGAAAATCCTCATTACGACCCCAGCTACGAGCCAATATCTAAGTCAGATGAAGATGATGACTCAGATACCGAAGTAGAATCAACCCCAGAACCAATCCGAGAATCAATGCTAGCCGAAGCGACAGAGGAGGGGCCAGAGCATGCATCTACAGAAAAAGTAGGACAAGTGACAGAGCAGCCGCAATATGAGGCGAAAGCCTTCAAGTACCCTAGCGGAAAGGTGTATGTGGGCTGGTGTGACGGCGCTCAGGCCGTCTTTATTACCGGAGCATTGGAGAGAAACATTCTTGAAGCTGCAGGAAGATTATCCTCGGTCCCCCGGGTGACGAACTTAAAGGACGTCACGACTATGACACGTTCCAACAATATTTCTATTGGCGCTAAATTTGGTTTCCTTGGATCTGGTGGTGATTTGAGATGGGCTGTCGGAAGGGAGCAAACCTTCACAATGCTCACTACTGGTACTAGAACAGCAATACAGATCGACCTCGATGGAACATTGAATGCTGCAAGGAACACGCCATATATCCTTTGGGACAACCGCGAAAAAAGGGCATGGCTTCTTCCTGGGACCTGTGCTTTGCTCTTTGTGGCTCTGTGCTATATTGGACAACAGAGGTGGAACTTTCAACCTAATATCGCCTATCCGACTAGCTCCACGAATCCTGGAAATGCGGCTACAGAGTGTATTAATGCAAATGCGGATAATTTGAAAATATCCAATGACAACAGACCGCAGTTAGATTGGCCTTTCGCGCGCATTATCCAACAAGTCTGGGAGTCAATGAGGGATGTTCATGACCAACTCGGCCGCCGTACGAATGGCAACAAGTTCATAATGCAAGGAAACGTCTTTGGGTATGACCTTTCCGAACTCCTCGGCCACGGCCAGGTGCAACTGCGTGGTCTTACGCGAAGGGTGGCAGGCAGAAATCTTCGGAGCTGGGAGCAACTCGCTCGATTCCCCCAAGTGAGTGTCATCTTCTGCAACTATCTCGGTCCAGTTATCGAATGCCATTCGCAATCCCCGTTCTGCGCTTGTACACCTCATTGTCAGTCTATCCCAGGAACCAGAGGAAGTCTGAGCTGTTTTCTTCCAGACTTTAAAGCCTTATGCTTCGACTGGACTGACTATACTGCGGTCAGGGGCTTTCCCATCGATGAGGAAATTGAATGGATCCCGACGAATCCGTTTCCGTTCGGTCACACCCAAAACTGTCTTGCGAATGACAAAGGTCCATGTGATTGTTGCAATGCTCTGGACCGACTTCAGACAATTGTCTTGAAGAGGGATCCGGGAATTCGAGATAGAGTGCGACAATTCTTCGTGCGGCCCCTACCAAACTCTCTTAAGGGTGCAAACGACGTCCATATCAAGCCGACTTGGATTGGAAGCCCCTATGCGATCCGATTTGGCACTATAAGTTAGTCCCACCATTTCAAGATTGGGGCAACCAATCTAAAGTTTGCCAGCGCTAGCAGGGAGAGCGGCTGACCCGTTCTGGACATACCCTTGCCATGAACGTCTGGAATGGATGGCGAATACAATGATCGTTTCTAATGACAGTGAGTGGCACGCAGCTCTAGACAGCGTAGTGCCTTGTCAAGCATAGCCACCATCATATCTCTGCGCTACCATGCCCAGCCCTTATGAACATGAATCCAAACTCCTCATGACCATCAGAGGTCAAACGGAAGCAACTCTACGGCTCTAGAGATTGCAGTGCTCAGTAAGGAGCCATTCGTTATATGACCGCGTGACAGCTGTATCACCAAAACATGTCGAGCCTTTCCACCTTCGTATATGCTTACAACGACGGCGTTCTGCCAGTGACACTCAACCCACTCGCCGAAGCGCAGGCTCCGATTTCCAGGGTCGCACACTCTATCTTATCTTATAACCCTCCTATCTCATGGTATTCCCCTTCAACGAGCTGAGACTAGCTCTCGGCTGCTGCTTGGTCTAGGAATCGGCTATGGTGGGCTCGAGAAGCATGAGGACGCGGTGGGCTTGATCAGGTCTTTCGTTCGGTCAGCGGGGAGAACAACGCCGACTTTCGGAGCTTAAGGGCGACGTGATGGTATGTCTCTATGTTACGAAAGTAGGTATCGCTGCGCGTTGTAGGATAGCTGTGTCAGACAAACGCCGCGGCTGTACGGGTCTTGGCACTGCTCCCAATCCTGAGTCGGATTTACCGAGCGCTTGTGCAATCCGCACGGCCACAGATCTTACAATAAATTACTCGCAGACGATGAGGTGAGACGTGTGGGGTTATTATATATTAGCCAAGATTGGTGATCGCTTCTACTAAAGGTACCAAACCATGTGGCGACCTTGTATAAAGTTACGCCCTGTAGCGTGCATAAGGCTGATAATAACTTTCCTAGTATTAAAAGAGATTTTAAGGCTCAGGCAAGGCTTATTTGCGAGAATTTAAAGTAGTAAGAGCTTAATAGTAGTGTTACAGGAAGGGAAGTCTGTTTTGCTATAAAAGGAGGCGAACGTAATTTTTAGGTAAGAGGGATTATAAATATTCAGGATTGGCTATAATACACGACTTATACGGAATTATAGTAATATCTATTGCACGCATATGTTTTTAAGCTGCTTAAAGTCAAAGTACCCCTTATTTGTCTCGGCACAGAGGGTGTCTCGCCACGCAGGGAGGCACGTTACGCAAATCTTTGAATGAATGAGTTGCTAGAGTGGAATTCTTTTCATTTGCATTCTACTACCTTAATCTAGAAATGGTGCAATCCAACCATCTCCCTTCCCTTTACGTACAATGATCTTGCTTGCGAGATGATGCGAATAATACACAATCAGAGCAACATGTCATACTACTGTGTTATGTGGCTTAAAAAGTGTGCAGAATTGCCTATAACAGCTAAACATCCTTTATAAGGACACAAGAAGCTGCCGTTAGCTAACTGTCTCTAAAGATGCTGAACTTAAACATGCCTCCCTAGACTATCTTTACGTGAAAATGGACTCTGTCCACAAAATAAGCAGTGTAGTGTAAAGTCTGTGTGTAGCCTTTTGTCTACTGTCTACATTCCTTAAACTCTTGCTAATATGTTACCTCCTTTCCCTTAAGGAATCTCGTCGTTATTGTCAGTATCTGTACTAGCATATGAATGGCTTTTCTTAAAATGCCGCTTTGACTGTACTGCTTTAAACTGGCGAGGCGTTTTTTGGCGGTGGCAAAGCTGTGTTAGAGTATGAACGAGTTGGACTTGTATATTGAAAACCTGATCTTTATAAAGCTTATTAAGCGGTTGAAAGAGTAGCTTGGCCACTATAGCCTGCTTCTTGAGCTTATACTTGATAGTTGACAGCGTGAGCACTTCTGTATTGGGAAAAATGCCCTACATCTGGCGATTTACTTTATTGACGTGAACGGTTTTGTGGAAGTTGTTGATTACATTGTCGAGTAGCTTATTTCTTAATTTGTTTTTTTTGTAGTTGATCTTGCGTTGAGTTTTGTAGTGTTTCTTATACCAGAACGTACTCTTGGCTGCCTTGATTGTAAAGTAGCCGTCTTCTTTTATCTTAAGCGCGTAGCTCTTCTAGGCTTTTACCTTTTTTAAGATATATAGATAGTTTGAAATCTCCTTTTTTTGTGTGTCATTTAACTTATCTAGGGTATCATCATGACGTTCAAGGCGGCCGACAGCTTAAATAAGATCCTCGCAGTGAGTGGTTCTAAGGTAAATGGCTTGACAGTCAGCGTTAATAAACGAGGGCATGTAATGTCGTTTATATACGTCCCTACTGTTTCTTATGGCGTGTCTTCTCTCCTTAAGGGTTAGTGCCTTTATATCGTTTGCCTTTAGTAAATCTATATCAGCAAGAGTCACACAGAAGATCGTTCTCACCATTCAACCGTTTCCTGGATCCTCTTCACAAGTCATACCATTAAAGCCGTTTCCTGAAACGACAAGTGCGGCCAAGACGAATAAAGTAGTACCGGTGTTTCTTGTATGTAAATGATTTTGTCTTTAATATCTGGACTTTAGTTGGCGTATGCTTGACGTCACAGAAAATAAGTCGTTTTGCCTAGTCGTCGTCTTATTTTAAACGAATACGATCTGTTCCTTTTAGAACAACAAGATCGTAGATCTGTTGTAGTGATGTGAATTTATTCTTAAATGTGTTGTCTGCAATAGCTAAAGCTATGATAAATATGACTAGGCAGCAAATTATGCTTTCATTGTCACGGAACGTGAACTTTTTCCTATATAAGATCAGACAATTCAAGCAAGCATTAGAAGGAAAATAAATATGCACTTACGGTTTCTTCTTTTCACCTGACCGCTTGATGTGTTAAAGGTTAAGGATGAGCCGTACAGTAGGCTGCTATCCTTTTATTAAGGGAGGGAAGACTTGAAACTCAATATCTTTGTATAAGAGGGGTATCTTCTTAACCAAAGCCGCAGGCTTTGTAAACGTACAGCCAGCGAAAATGTTAATCAGGGACTCTTGCACTTAGAGTCGTTTATGAGGAAATTTCTCTTGATCACGAACTTAGAGACTGTTTTAAAGAACACACAAGTCTTTTATGTATAGGGCAGACTTCTCGACTTCTGAATCATCAAGACCGAGTGTAGGAATCTACTATAAATTTATCAGCATTATTAATTTTCTAAAAAAGACTAGCAACAAACATTGCGGAGGTCTGCCAGAATCCCCTTATCTATGTAGCGCTTTGCTGTGTGTTGGTAGTTCATGCTAAGTACGTGCCAGTACGTGGACATGGTTGCCTGCCTCTTAATACGCGAATTCTTCCTTTTCTTCCGCTAGACAAGGAACGTCTTGAAGTCTTCCGCGATTGCACCTTTAAGAGCAGCCACCGGATCTCCCTTCTTTATTTTCTTGCAATGCCTAAAGTGCCGCCATTAGCAAGTATATAATGTTAAACGACAATAGCGACCTACAGTTTCCACATCTGTTCTTCTCTTTTCATCATCGCCTTTGTCTCGTCACAGGGGTTTGCTAGATTTAGGCCGGCGACTACGAACTTGGCCCTGATCTTCCGATAATGCTTGGCTTCTGAATCGAGGTAACGGTTAGAGCTGTAGCCAGAGTCAGACTCAGAGTCGGAATCGGAGTCAGAATCAGAGGCGGCGCTGGAGTCGTTGGCATCAGAAATGGGCACCTTCTGCCTTTTCTTGGCCTGCGGTTTGATTGCTTGAGGATTCTCAGCACTAAATAAATCCAACGGAGGGGTTTTATAACGGCCATGGTAAAGAGTCCTACGCTGGGCGTGACGTCGAGGCAGCTTTTGTGGTGGAAGAGACATGCTGTCACTTGGTGGTAATACCAAGGATACAACGAGGATTGTTGATTATTGCAACGTCAGACTTCTCAGACGGTCAAGGACGATATCGTCCTGGGAAGAGGATTGTTCACGACGTCATAAGGAGTTGATCCTAAGTTGTGCTGCTCTATACTGCCTGTACCACTTCGTCTCCTGGGCAGCTTTGAGTGTGGGGTAGTGGTGTTTGAGGAATTAGAGGCACCTGTTACGGTGTGCAACCAGTCTGGCGATACGTCGATCGTGCGAGTTCATAAATCCTCGATTGGTAGTTTAGGAATGCAAAAAGGTACAGGAACTGGAATGGAGGAAGAAGAATTCGATGGTAAGGAGGCAATGAGTAAGGAGGGTAATAGGAGAAAAACGACGGCGAGACCGATAATTTAAATACATCCTTAACAGGGTGTTAAGGCCTCTTATGTGGATAACCTTCCGTTGTGGTCAACCCTCACTGTTCTGATGGTCATAGTTATTGACTTGGAATAGGCGAGGGAGAATTTGTCGGTTGGAAGGTGCTTAAGGCGGCGTGTGGGCTAATGCGCTAGAGCTCGTAGCTCAATGTTCGAGCGCCTAAGCGAGGTGGAAAGGGTTGGTAAAACAGCGACCACACTACCCCAGAAACGGGGATGAAATCACCAACATCTCAATACTAGTAATAACTTTACTAAAGGTAATAAGAGTAAGGATAAGGAATTCGAAGGCCTTAGTAATAATAGTATTAACTTAGCTAGTATATCTTGTACTATATACCTTACTATTGATATACCTTATAATAATACCTATAGACACTATATAATTCACTACTTATAAGACTTTATAATAGAAGATATCTAATATCTTAGTATAAGAGTTAACGACTTAATTACTTTAGCTTCCGAATATATAAGCTTATTATAGGATAAGTTTATTACTTAGATCTTTAGCTAGAACTAGAATACTTCTACCAGAGAGATTATAAAACTAACTTAGAAAGCCTGAGCTACTATAGATACTAATATCCCTTATAAATATTTCTAGTGAGACACTTATAGTAATATTATTAAGAAGAAGATACTTCAGATAGGAAAGATAGTATAAGAGCTTAGCTTTCTTAGACCCTTATAAAACTAATAAGTAGGGGCCTTTATCTAGCTTAAGATCCGACTAGTGATATATAATACTTAAGTATCTTTTACTTATTTAAGGGAAATATTTTATTTAGAGAAAGATATTACTTTAGTAGGTCTATAGCTTTTTTATAGTTACTACTTAGTAGCTCTTTAAAACTATAATATAAAGGATATTAAGATCTACGAGAAATATAATATATTAATACTAATTTAGTTAGCTTATAGCTATCTTAATAAATAGTATAAGGATTAGGCTTTTAAGTAATAGAATAAAGAAGTTATCTATTATAATATTCTAGAAGAAGAACTTTTTATACTATTTAAGCTACTTTATATAGCTTTTTAGATATTTAGATTCTCTTAAGGAAATAGTAGTAAGATCCTCGGAGGTATAGGTATAGAAGCTTACTATAATACACTTAAAGGTATTCGGAAAAGTAGAAAAGTTAAGAGTATTTATTTAAATTATAAGATTTATTTAAACGCTAAGGAATCTGATATAATAATAAGAGTAGTTACTAACTCTATAGTATAAATAACTAAGTACGAAAAGGTTAGTGATAGTAGCGTTAGAATTAGAGATACGGACGGCGATAATAATAATAATAATAATAATAATAATAATAATAATAATAATAATAATAATAATAATAATAATAATAATAATAATAATAATAATAATAATAATAATAATAATAATAATAATAATAATAATAATAATAATAATAATAATAATAATAATAATAATAATAATAATAATAATAATAATAATAATAATAATAATAATAATAATAATAATAATAATAATAATAATAATAATAATAATAATAATAATAATAATAATAATAATAATAATAATAATAATAATAATAATAATAATAATAATAATAATAATAATAATAATAATAATAATAATAATAATAATAATAATAATAATAATAATAATAATAATAATAATAATAATAATAATAATAATAGTAACTTTAAGCTCTTATAATCTATAGATATTAACGCTGAATAATCTTTATACTTACTTTATTGTACCTCTATAGTACCTCTATAGAAAGGATACTTTATATAATAGAATAAATATTTAGAAAGTATATGATTTTTATAGGAGAGAATAAGGGTTTAATTTTATATTTATTTTCTTTTTCTTTTCTACTTACTTTATTTAAGTATAAGTCTTTTATAAAGGTACTATAGATAGGGGAAGGATTCTACAAGGACTTAACTCGACTTATATATATAACTAGCTAAGGCGGCTTAGTATAAAGGGAGGGATAGTATTAGGAGGCTCTTACTATATTAAGCTATAGCTCTTAAAGGCTATACGCCTCTCGAGCTTTAAAACTCTCCCTAAGTTTCAGTTAATCAAAGAATGTTTCCTTTACTCCTCGCGTTTTAGATATACTATAACAAATAACTAAAGTTAGCTAGTGCTAGTTCTTTAGTTAAAACTACTTATAAGCTTAGCTTAAAAGATATACCTAAGAAGAAATCGTAAGCTAATACTACTTATCTTATTTATAATTATTCTGAACTTATTAATTATTATATTATTAAACTTAAAGAATATGAACTATAGCTATATAATACTATAGATCTATAGGAAGCTTATATCCCTAAGAAATACTATATTTACTTTTAAGCTTTTATTAAAATAACTTTTAAGATATATTAAAAGCGAATTCAGAATATTAAGAATATCGACTTTACTAATAATAATATTATAACTCTTATTACTTAGGATATAAAGGACTAGTTTATTAATATTATCTAGGCTATTATATAGGACTTTATTAATACTAGCGCTATCTTAAGATATATCCTCTCTTATAATAAGACTCTTAAGGATATTAAAAGTAAAAGTAGCTTATTTATTACTTATAAGATAATCTTACGAGTTAGAAAACCTAAAGCTCTTAAAGTTATATATATCTATAAGAATCTAAAGCTTAGTATTAAATATAACTACACGACTCTTATCTTAATTAAGTATATTATTAAGTATAAGGACTAATTTAAGTTAGATCTTACTATTACTAAACAAGCGCGATTTCTTAGCTTTATTAAGAATAATATTAAGAATAAGAATAATTTTTACTTTTTCTACTTCTATTAATATATTAAATTTATAAGTATATTTATTAAAGTAGATAATAAGAATATAACCTTATATCTCTTTAATACTTTTAATCTTATTAAAGTAAATATTAAGGACTTAGAAACCTTTAAAATTAACTTAAAGTTTATATATCTCTTCTATAAAACTAAAATAATAACTAAAGCTAAAGCTATAATATACTTTAGCTTTTTTAACTTTAAAGTATTAAAGATATTTACTAATAAAATTATATAATATAGATAGATAAGTAAGTACTAGAAAAAATATCTTTTATAAGGAAGTAGCTTTAAGCTATATTAGTATAACTTAATAAATACTAATAGAATATTCTTAGTATTATACTTTATTACCTCTACTAAAGATAATAAGTTACGCTCTCTCTTATAAATCCTAGGTTAAGAACTTACTATATATAGATTCTACTATTACTTAGATCTAAAGAATAGAACTAAAGCTATATTTCTTTATAATATAATATATAGTATTTTATAATAGTGCTTTAAAGCTAATTATAAGCTATACCTAGCTATAGTTACTACGTGTAATAATAGTAAAACTCGACTTATTACTTATTCCGAATTTCTAATTATCCTAAGTCTTAATAGTATTTAAATATAAGTTTTTACTAAAGTAGATATATACTATTATACTTCTTTTCTAACTAATAAGATAGTCTTATAAGCTAATAATCTCTACTATTATATCTTAGACTTCTATAAGTTTTATATTAAACTACTTACTTTTAATTACTTAGAAGAGTTACGAAAGTTATACGACTTAATAGAACTTATCTACTATACTAAAGCTTAAAAGATATATATTCTAATAAATATCTATAGAAAAAGACTATTTAATAAATATAATACTAAAAGTAATAAGTTACTTAGCCTCTTTATTACTATAACTAATAAGAAGAGTCCTATTAAATTAATTTTCACTTAATAAGGTATTTAAATTATAATTATAAACCTTAACTAAAAGGCTATAAATATTTATTTCTCTAATAATTATACTACTCTTATAAATAAGAATCGACTTAAGAATAGCGTTTTAATTAATAAGTATATAATAGATTATATTTAATAAAAGATCCTAATTACTCTGCGATTTATAAGATATCTAAGGACTTATACTCTATTTATTACTACTCTAGCTATAACTAGACTTAGAGCTCTTTCAGAAGCTTTACTTAGTTATCTATTATATAGTAATCTTACTATTATTACTAAAGCTATTACTCTACTAGTAATAGATAATAAGGAAATTATAAAGTATCTTAGATAATACTAAAAGTAATAAGTTAGACTTACGAACTACTTTTAGAATAAAACCTTAGATATAAAGGAAATAGCTTACTTAGAGAAATTCTAAGCTTAGAATTAAAATAATAAAATTAGTTCTAATAATATTATTAATTAAGAACTTCTTAGAGAATAAGTTATTAAGCTATAATAAAGAAGTTATCTAGCTTAAGGACTTAGATAATAAAGCAGATAAAGAGTTAAAGAACTTAGATAAGAGATTATTAATAGATAATAATAAAGAAACTACTAAAGAACTTAACATGAAGCTTAATCTACTTAGATAGCTCTAGCTAAAGTTTAATAATAAGGATTAAGAAGATTTATAGTAACTAAAGACTCCTAAACTTATCTTAAGAAGTAAAGGAGAATAGAATAATAATAATAAAGAAGAAGAATCTAGATTTAAGACCTTTAGTACTTATAAGCTTAGCTTAAAAGTATAAA